CTCTCTCTCTCTCTCTCTCTCTCTCTCTCTCTCTCTCTCTCTCTCTCTCTCCCTCTTCTTCTCTCTCCTCAACCCCCTCCCGTTTCTCTCTCTCTTTCCCTCTCTCTTTCTCTCTCTCAACCCCCTCCTCTCAATCACGCCCTCCCGCTCTCACTTTGTCTTTACTCACTCTCCTTTTCACTTCCCTCCTCTGAGAGGGAGGGGAGGGTGTTAGAAAGGGGTCTATTTTCTTCTCTGCTTGTGGAAAAAACGGGGGCCCTTTTATAATTGGTCGCTTTTTGAGGACAAGTAGGCTAACCCAGATTTCGGGGGTTTTCAGAAATCTTGACCTACACCTAAAGTGGGCTCTGCCCTACCTATAGGAGAAGTTTTGTTTCATTGTTGTATATATGTTTGGTTATAGAAAAAACTTTCCTTGTCTTTTAAAGAAACTAAACAAAAGGCAAAAGCTTTACCTTCGATTTTCTCAAAACAGCATTTTTCCAGATAGCCCCCATGTGCTTTTAATTAAAAGCGACCAATTAAGCGGTGGGCTTTGATATGCACGTTCTATGCAGCAGGTGTACTAAAAACGTTCTTTCCGCCATTGACCCCTGTAAAAGAAGTAACCGACCGAAAAACAAAACAAAACAAAAAACGAAAACAGAAAGGAACAAAACACGGACCGCTGTAACATGTCGTGTTACTGTTGTTCAGGTTGCTGTTGTCTAGAGCTGGGGGAAGAATCGATTCCGGAACCGATTCCCACGATCAATGCTGCGAAAGAAAAGTTCCGACTCCTTTTTACGTAAACCAACGGTTACCTGTTACTTCAATCGTTAAAGTCTTCTTTTTTTAAAATTAGAATGTATTTGTGAAAAATAAAAGCTGATGCTTCGTAGTGTTCCGAAATCAAGGTTATCCTAGATCCTGAAGATGTTTGGAGCCAACCAGGTAACCCCACCGGAAGAAAGCACATCATGAGAAAGTAAGTAATTGGGTTCGGAGTCGATTCCTACGATTCCTAGCTTTCAATATCCGGGAACCTATCCGCCCAGCACTACAGTGTTGCCGCTTGTAACCCAAGAGTCCTTGGGCTTGCCCCATAAGTCAAGTGCTGCTTGCTGCTTGCTGCTTGCTACTTGGTAGTGGAAGATGGATGGTTGGTGATTGGTGGTTGGGGGGAACCACCGACGGGTCTTTCCTTTCTGCTGCTTCTCTCTTGTTCCTGTCTATCTTGGTGTTCTGGGTTGTTTTTGTTTTGTAGTTTTGTTTGTTTAGGGTTTTTATTGTTGATGTTTTTGGTGTTGTTTTTTGTTGTTTTATTGTTTTTGCTTTTTTTGTTTTTTTTGTTGTTGTTGTTGGGGTTTTTTTTTTTGGGGGGGGGGGCACCGATTGGCCATCCTTTCTGCTTTTGTCTTGTTTTTTTATCGATCCTGGGTTTTTTCCCCGGCTATCTGTCTTTGGGGGTTTTCCCCTGTCCTAAATGACGACCTCTGCCGTGTTTATTCAAATGAAAAGGCGTCATGTTTTATCATGTCCGGTAATCGGAGGGAGCCACTCGTAGTAACAGATTTTATTTGTAAGATCTTGTCAGTTAGTGTTTTAACTCGGGTAATTTATTATTATTAATATTATTTCAAATAAATCAAAGCTCTGGGTTCAGTACATCTGAACAGCTGGCTGACGAAACTCGATCTTGGTCCTTGGTCTATTACAATTTGTCATTTGTCTATTCGATGTGTCCTTTGAAGTTGTCTTTAGGCCATTCCCAAAAAGGGGGGGGGGTATTGTCATGTTTTATGCACAGTAGAATTGTAAATGGGCTGATATATCAATGGCATGCTCATACTGTGTTGAAATAACATCGGGGGAACTGCTGCGTTTTCTTTTCTCATCCGTACTATGGTCATTTGTCTTCTACTTCTGTTGCATGTTTGTCACTCTCTTGTGAACTGTTATTTCCGGGGTGCCTTTATTGTCGAAGCAGACTTTGTGCTGCTGAGGCTAGAGAGGTGGGCAGAGTAAGCCTGGTTCCCCGTTTGGACTTCTCTGTTGACATCCACCCCTTGGCGCTCATATGACCTTATGCAGTAGCGAGGTGGGTGGTTGGCGGTTGCTCTGGTGTGGTTTGCTTCTTCTTTCCTATCAAACATTTATCTGTCGTCTTTATGTCCCCTCCTTCTTTTTTGTGTTTGTTACTCTCTTGTAACACTTCTAATCTTCTGGCGCTCATATGACCTTATGCAGTTGCGAGCGCCGTGAAACCTTTACTAAAAAAATCAAAAAATCTAATATTCGGCACTTATATGACCTTATTGTGTTGCAAGTGCCGTACAACGCTTTCTAAAACAAGCTAAAAAGCAGTTGCGAGCGCCGCAAAACCTTATTAAAACTAAAACTAATGCGTGTGTCCTTGACCCATCCAATGTGTCCTTGACCCTTCCAATGTGTCCTTGACCTACACAATGTGTCTGTGACCCATCCAATGTGTCTTTGACCTACCCAATGTGTCCTTGACCCACCCAATGTGTCCTTGACCTACACAATGTATCTTTGACCTACCCAATGTGTCTGTTATCAATGAGAGAGAGAGAGAGAGAGAGGGGGATAGAGAGAGAGGGAGTGAGAGAGAGAGAGAGAGTAGAAATAGAAATGTGTTGTGTCCTTGACCCATCCAATGTGTCCTTGACCGACCCAGTGTGTTCTTGACCCACCCAATGTGTCCTTGACCCTTCTAATGTGTCCTTTCCTTGACCTCCAGGAGTTCCAGCCACAGCCTGGCCAGCCTGACGGACGCCGAGCGCCAGGAATGTGACTCCGTAGACAGTGGCCACGATGGACGCACGCAGACCGGGCCCTCGCCTCTGGTGTTCGAACCCGGGCACTTTGGCACGCCGCGCAGGGGGCACTCTGCCCAGGTGGGTGTGGGTGTTGTTTGGATGAGAGAGAGGGGAGAGAGAGAGAGAGAGAGAGAGAGAGAGAGAGAGAGAGAGAGGGGGGGGGGGAAGAAAGTGGAGCTAGAGATGTATC